TATATATATATATTTTATAATTCTAAATTATTATAACTAAAACTGAATTTCTTTATAAGTAGTATTTTATAATAAATTTTACAAATTTTATTATTTGAAATATTTTAAATATATTGTAGATCAATATATAAATTGCATTATCCATATGTACATCAACTCAATAATTTTAGGATAATTGATAATATATTATATATTCTTACATTATTACATTATAATACTTGCATTGATATATTATCTCAATTATTATTTATAATCATTAATAAAAATTAAAACGTTTGCTTTATTTATTTATCGGAATCAAAATTTTGTCTGTTAATATAACTACATTACACAAATTTAATTTTAAATTTAAATTTAATTCTGAATAAAATTTTTTATATTATTTTAATTTTTTATAAACAGTTATATTTAAAAAAATATGTATGCAAATTTAATCTGTAATTATATATATGGTATTTAAAGCGAAAAATAATGAAGTAATTATTTCATGATTATTAAAATAAAAGTAAATAATTATCATAATCAAATATAAGGTTTTATGTAAATAGCACAAAATTCGAAAGTAATACTGGTAATTTGCTAAGTGTATTTGTCACGGTTATGAGGTAAGATGATAGATGTAGGTATGACAATCGTTTTAAGGATAACGGTAAAATAGCAGTGACCTGATATTTACACCGGAATAATTTTTATCCTTTCCATGCGATTTTTCGACGCGTTGTCTCCGTTCTATTGTCCTACATAGGCTAATTTATCCGAAGCACGTACTACTTATTGTTAGCATTGTATTTTGAAAAGGATGTATTGGAATATTTAAAAGATTTTATTTTGAATATTTATAAACTAAAAATACTTATAAATTAGACTGAATATCTTTATAAACTAGAGTAAGAATTAATTAGTAATAAATTAAGAAAAACGCGTAGTTTTTTACAACAATTTCAATTATTAGTTTTCTAGAACACTAAGAATCTCTTTGAGATTGGAATTTCTTGATTATTTTGAATTAACATTAGGGCTACATTTATAATTACTGACATCATTTGCGAATCTTAATTTTCGTTATTATTTCAGTATTTAATCTTCATATTCTTATTCTCTATACATACGCAGAATTTTATTAAATTATTTTATTTGATTATTATCAAAGATTATGAATCCAATAAGAGCATCACGGCTTGATGATTCAAGCACTATACTAAATTCGATATATTGCACATAAAATAATCACGACAAATTATTTCGTCAGAAGAAATCTATTCATCTAAAGAAAAATATTCTTTAAATTAATATTGCTTTCTTATCTTTTCTAACAGTTAATTTGGCAGGGTATTGCACAGATATTCTTATCAACAAAGTACGATTATTAGATATATTGTTAGATATATTGTATTTGTTTTATGTTATAACTATTACCTTTTGACTACTTCCTGTCTTTTAACTCTCGTATAATTGCCGGCGATATTTTCTCGCTCGCAATAATTTACAGCTATAGCTTAGTGGTTAATTTTTCTGCATCGTAAGATGCGGCTGGTTGCCAGTCTCTAATCGATTTCTCGCTAACTTACGATTCACGTGGCTGCGTACGTTGATGACGATCATGTACGTCGGCAGAGGATAAAGTACTTTTCAAATCGGACCTCGGTTTCAGGTTCTGCCCCGATTTGCGGCTTAACAATTACGACGATGCTGGCAACCTACATTAAGCGGATATAACGAACAAGTTGTTATTCGCGACATTTATTTCGAGAATATAATATAAACTGCGCATATAAAACATTTTTATAGATACAAAAAAAAATCTCCTCTATTTAAGAATTATATGCACGACATTTGATTGTTATAATCATGACTTTATTTTTAGAATTGAAAGGCATATATTATATATTTTATTGCTTTATTAGCATGTTTATATTAACATTTTGGTTGAAGAATTAATTGTTACGTTATTAAAAAGAATAGATCGTCATTGCTGCTTATGAAATATAATAGTTATTCGTTATAATAGTTACTTGTTTTCTTATATGCAAGTTATAAATGTACTGGTGGTTACTAGGATCTTTATTTTTAGCACGTGCACACACACACACACACACACGCGCGCAATGCATTCTCGAGAATATGAACATGTAACATGCGTATCGTAACAAGATACAGATAGCTTGCGCACGTAGCACCTGCTTTAAGCGCGTCTTATATCGTCACTATCTTTATCGATCGACTTCTTCCTTCTCAGAAAAAATAGATATACATATATATATATATATATATACATATATACGTATATGAAAGAAATAAAAGATTACTTCGAGGCCTTGAACACGAGCCGAGTCGCTTCCCAATGCGCCGAGAATACCGCCTCCTTGCCTGTATGAAGAGATTC